CCAGCCACTGCAACATGAGTTTGACCCCCGGCCTGGGAGGTGACCCGCATGGCACAGCAGACCTCTCCTGTCTTGCCTGCTGCTCTCCTCAGCAGTGTATTTCAGTAGATCTGCCTGTTCTGCTCCCCATTCTGTCTCTGGTGAATCCTCTCACTCACCACACCTCTGACCTACACCCCAGTTCTTTTATGCATAAAAATAGAATAAAACCAAGATTTGATTATGTAAATATTAAGAGCGATTTGTCCTATGGAAAGAAAAAAGACCAAAATTACATTCAAACCATAGTGTACTCATGATTTGCTGTTAACTTGACAACAGATTAATAATATTTTACAATGATTTTATATCATTAAAAAGAAAAATACGAATCGCCAAGAAAAATACTAACCTCCAAGTAGGTAGATATAAGAAGACGTGATGAAACAATTTCCACAGGATAAAACAACATTATTCACAAACAGATGGTAATGCTTAGACCTACCGGCACTCATAAAAATGCAAAATAATTAAAAAACTCATTAGGGATTTGTAAAACTAATGTAGTAGCAATTTTTAAAAAGTATATAGAAAGGATGCAGTAAAATAGACATACTCTAGTGGGAGAATAAATTTAGAAGTCATTTTAGAAAGTAATTAAAAAACATGACTTAGTAATCTAAAAACATTAATTTTTTATTGTAATTTTCTCTAGAGAATCTATCTTCAGGAAAAACCCTCAATGCATATGGAAATAATTATCTACAAAGACATTTGGAAAGTTATTTATAGTACCCCAAATGGAAGACTAAAATATCAGATCTTAAAGGGAAAGGTTTAAAGGCCCTAATGGAATGTTATGTGGCAAATAAATGATATTTGTAAGGAGAATCTAAGATTCATAAAAAATGATAATTGAAAAGAACTAAGATATGAACTAGTGTGATTGCTCCTTAATTAACATATGAGCAGTGCCAAGATTGGGAAGTAATAGACCCAGGTGCTGATAATACAGATCCTTGTTTGTGGTGATTTTTTCCTTTTCATTCTATTTTTCTTTTACATTTTCTGAAATGTGAATTTTATTTGCTTTAGCTTCTCTAATCCACCGTTTCTTGCACATTCTCTAAAATTCCTGTGGGCGATAGTCAAGGCAATTGAAGGGGAAATTTTACTACGAATAGTTCCTGAATAGCCACATGGGCACAGACCAGCCCATGGCCCTGGTTCAATCCCCTGAACCTTCAAGAAGATGGCAAGGAAGGACGTCCCGACTGACAGCACAGCCACTCTGTGTTCCTTTCTTTATATTAATAACTCACGTTTATTGAACTGTTACTACCTCTGATGCACTGTAGAGAGCAATTAACAAACATTAGTTCATCTGTTCCTCTTGTGAACCTCTTGCGGGTACTTCCACTTTACAGATATGGAAATTGCTACTTGGAGATGCGAGTGACTTGGTCAAGCTCACACAGAGATTAAATGAGAGCGGAGTTTCCAGGTCAGATCAGTTTGAGACTGGGACACAGTCTCTTATCTGTGCCTGTCAATTTACTTCTCCAAAATATGCTTGTGGACAATCAGATTAATATGTAGAATTCCATTTTTATAACATTGCTTGCTTGCTTAAAACCCTCACTAATTTTTTATTGCCCGATAAATAGCCCACAAACTAATTCAGGCTTTCAAAATCTACTTCCTAGACCCAAGCCCTTCTTCCAAGATCATTTAAAAGAAATTTTTTTTAAAGATTTATTTACTTATGCACACAGAATTGGCGCACAGGCCAGAGTCTCAGGGGTGGCGAGAGGCTTCACCAGAGACAGAGTGGGGAGTGAAACAGGTGATCGAAGAAGTACACTGCTGAGGGGAGCAGCTGGCGGGTCAGGAGAGGTCTGCCACGCCATTGGGTCACCTCCCTGGCTGGGGGTTGAGCTCGTGTTAAAGCGGCTGCTGCCTAGTAGTGCTGTGCTTTAACCCTTTGGACCACCAGGAAGGGCCCCCAACATCATTTTTTATGACACTGTAGCCCTTCTTTCTTTCAGGTATAATCCGTCCAGCTCTCCATCCGCCTTTAGTGCGCATAGCATGACCTAAATGAATTTGAGGAAGTGGCTACAACACATCCATCTTGGCACTAGCAATGCAGAAAAGAAAGAAATTCTGGCATATACAATCAAATAAGTATTTTAAAAACAAGTTATAGGGCCTCTCATAGGGCATTTTGCATCAACTGGGAATTGTCATTAATCTGATTTCGTGCCGGATTTAAGCTGAATATTTACTTGCCCTACCCAACAGGATCAAGAAGAAAGACCCTTTGAGGACAAAGAATAATTTTCCTATTTTCGGGGAGGCCATTACGGTGTCTGTATCTGAGACCGTCTCTAGAATCCTGTCAGCGCCTTCTCCTGTCTGTGCACTCCCGAATGCCATGACACCCTCTGACAAGTGTTTGTTGATAGAATGGAGACCTTGGGAAACTTATCTGTGTATATCAAAGCTTAATACTGGCAAATTTCATTTTCATGTATGAGACTCAACAGCATTCTTCTTAGACTTGCTACTTAAAGTGCGATCTGAGAAACAACCCCACTGACATCACCACTAAGCTTGTTAGAAGTTTGGGTTCTCCAGCTCCACCCCAGACTTACTGAAACAGAACCTCCATTTTAGAAAAATCCCTGGGTGAGTTGAATTAAATTATAAGGCTTATCAACATTAAATTTGAGAAACCTTGTTGGAGAACGTGTTCCAATATTGTTAATACGTTCTGAACACAAGATGGCAGTGTTTCCTATACGCAAAGCCTCTGTCAAATTTAAAACATTTCACTTTAAATTGGACTAGATCCTTATACCTAGGTCTAGATGCTGAACAGGCTTGTCACTGATTGGCGGGGTAAGAGGCTGTGCCTTCCTCCTGGGGATAGTGAAAACCCTATGAACAGCCCTCAAACGGAAGAGAATGGCTTTAACATTTCAAGCCAAGTGGTAGTAGAATGGAACAGTTCCTGGGAGTTGTGATTTTGTGTCTTCTAGTGGGCTGTGAGTAGGAGGCTTTCTGGTGATGGGCCAAAGACACCAGGGAGCCAGTCCCCAGGATGGAGGGGTTGGGGTGGGATCTATTTGGCTTCATCTTTATTTCTATCTGGGGTTGTGGGGGAAAAATATGACTTCAGGGTATTATTATAGCATATTATTATAGCAACCAACCTACTGTTTCTGCATTGTGTTTCTGCCTAGGGGTGAGCGGCCAGCAGATGAAACAGAGTCCACAGTCCCTGAGCATCGAGGAGGGTGAAAAGGCTGTTCTGACCTGTAACTTTACTAATTATTCTCCAATACTCGTACACTGGTACCGACAAGATCTGGGACAAGGCCTCGTCTTCTTGGTACTGATACGTGAAAATGAGGCTGAGAAGCAGGCAGAAAGACTGAGGGTCACCTTTGAGACCACCCTCAAAAAGAGCACCTTGCAGATTCCTGCCTCCCAGCCCACAGACTCAGCCACCTATTTCTGTGCCGGAGACGCACAGCTGGGGCCAGCCACCAGCTTCCTGCACACAAACCCTGCCACACCCCCACAGCCCACAGAGCTGCAGGCTGTCTCTCCAAGCTCAGTTTCTGGAAAAAATAAAGTGGGGGCCACCTGAAAGGGACAAAGGGGTGTGAGAGGGCCCTGGATCCACTTCACAGCCTCAGTGCTGCTGTGAGTGACTGTACATCTCTAAGCCACCTGTGAGATTTGCAGGACTCTTTCCTCATCTGAAAACGATGGGCTAAATACATGAGCTCTCAAGTTGTCTCAGCTCTACTATTCAAACAGACTTTTTTTTTTTCATTCAGAAAAATAAAATGGCTTGAAAAATGCTTGAAAGCAAGGGAAGAGGATTTGTTTTTAAAGACAGTTAATTGTGCGTGACTGGAGCATAATATAGGCTAAGTATGCTCCTCTTCAACATAAATAAAAATATATTCCCCTAGATAAAAAAGAGTTCAAACATTTTGGAGACCCTTGTAAAATGAACGACAATTGAAGTTGATGATGATGATGTTAATGATACAGAATTGACATGCATTCCTTTTATTACTCATCTAGTGAATGAATCATTCACTACTGTTTACTGTGTGTGGGGTATCACTAAGCATGTCTTTTAATTATTATTATTATTAAAAAAAGATGTATTTATTTATGCTTACAGAACTGGGGTACAGGCCAGAGATGCAGGGGTGGTGAGAGGATTAACCAGAGACAGAGTGGGGAGCAGAACAGGCATACTGACAAAGTACACTGGTGAGGGGAGCAGTGGGCGGGTCAGAAGAGGTCTGCCATGCCATGTAGATCAGCTCCCTGGCCAGCAGGGGATCAAACTTGTGCTGCAGTGGCTTTGGAGAGCTTCATAACCCGTTATGCCACCAGGGAGAGCCCTAATTATTTTTTACACTTTATTTTTTCATTTTACATTTTGAAAGGACAGGTTTATTAGAAGAAGAAGAAGAAGGAGAGAGAGAGAGAGACCTGTGAGAGAGAGACCTGCGTGGTCACAGGCGGGCAGGGGAGCTGGTGCTCCTGTTTGCAACTTGTCTTTAAATGAAGGGCTTCCGGGCTCTCCCTAGTGGCCCAACGGGTTTAAAGCACAGCGCTAAGCAGTTAGCCTAGCTTCAGCAAGAGTTCAATCCCCGCCCAGGAGGTGATCCACTTGGCATGACCCGCCCACTGCTCCCCTCAACAGTGCACTTCGACAATCTGCCTGTTCTGCTCCTCACTCTGTCTCTGATGGATCCTCTCACAGCCCCTTGCACGTCTGTGCCTGCATAGATAAATAAATCCTTAAAAAATGGACTTTGACCTTCTGCTAGTGGTTAATTCTGAATCGAGTGTCTCTCTCTCACTGTCATGTCTCTCAATCTCCACCATTCATGTCTCTTTTCTTGATTAATTTTCAGCAATAAAACCAGACCAGATGTCAAAGCAGATTCAGTTAGTGATGATGGCAGAAGCTGTGGGCTTTGGCAGATTTTTTTGCCTTTGCATCTGGTGTCCTGGTGTGCTCTGGGTACGTGGAGTCATTATCACAGAGCACAGTTACTGTGCTGCTTGCATGTGAGTGTAGGTGAAGGGCCTGAAAGAACTTATTTGTGGAAATGGAGATGAAAATTATGAAATTAGAAAAAATTGAATCAGAGTGTTAGAACACATTAGCAGTCAACCAGTCCAAATTCCTTATTCTAACACAGTCAGCATAATAGAAGAAGCCAGGACTAAGAAAATGTAGGTTCGGAATCTTTGTCACTTGGGATTTGTCCGAAAGAAGAGGAGACCTAGTAAACAGATTATTAACCATAGTTGGCTTCACTAAAATATCCTCTTGAATGTTAAATTCAAGAGGATTTTAAATCACTTACTGATTACACATGCTAATGGATGATATGAAAGTTTCACTCCCATCTTTAATTTTACCTGTGCCATAATTCAGTTTAGATATATTGCATGAGGTGTACCAAAAATTATTAATAACCAAATAAACTTCATGGCCCTTTCATGGTGAACTCCAAGTCACAACACAGTAACTGTCAGTTCGGCTATACCAAGATTTCTGAAAACAATAACTTTTCCACTGAGGAAGGTTTTAAATTAATTTTAAATGTAACCTGGTATCATCCTAAGGAATTCTAACTTCACAGCTAGTTCACCAAATTTACCAAGACTACTTCAGAGTAGACTAACTTTACACAGCACATTACAAGACAAAGATATATTTATTCAGTCATGATTAGACTATTACATTTAGCAATTAACATCACTGGTACAAAAACAACAGCACAGCACTACATTAAAACACTTTGTTGAAAATGTTGGCGAGGATGTGGAGAAAAAGGAACTCTCCTGCACTGCTGATGGGAATGCAAACTAGTACAACCACTATTGAAAACTGTTTGGAGGTTCCTCAAACTGCTAAACATGGAGCTTCCCTATGACCCAGCAATCCCACTTCTAGGTATCT